CAACTGCATTTGCACATGCACCTACAAATGACAATGCAACAGAACCTGTTACTGCAATTACAACTGCAACTGCATCTGCACATGCTCCTACAAATGACAATGCAACAGAATCTGTTACTGCAACTGCAACTGCAACTTCAACTGCACAAGCACCTACAACTGACCATGCAACAGCAAATGCAACTGCAACTACAACTGCTACTTTAATGTCACATGAACCTGCAACCGACCATAGAACAGCAACTGCAACTGCAACAACACATACAACTGCTATTGCTACTGCACCTGCAACTCTAAATAAACCTACACCTACACATGCAACAACTTTTGCAAAAGCAACAGTAATTGCAACTGCAACTTTTACTGTACTTGTTACTGCAGATGCAACTGCAACTTCACAGGCAACTGCAACTGCAACTGCCACTGCAACTAAACCTGTGACTGCAACTGCTCATGCACCGGCAGCTGACCATTCAACAGCAACTAAAACTGCAACAGAACACACAACTGCTTTTTTTTTTTTTTTACGTCAGGGGGAAAAACCTTCAAAAGGCGTCCTGGGCCCGGTAATAAGGGGAGTCTCGGATTCCCACCGATTAAAAACCCCACCTGAATCTAAGACTAATATGCAAAGAAGGAGGCAGACGGAAAACACGGTTCATGCATACCATACTAAATGCCTCCTTCCCAGACAAGTCTGGACGGAATTCGCCATGCTCTCGACACTCACTCTCACACATCACTCCTACATCAGATCGCACTCAACAGGTACATTCCCCTTAGTATCGCTGAAGCCACGCATACTGAGGCGCACTCAACAGTTAGCCCAGCCATCCGTAACGTGACGTGCAGGATAGGCCTATTCACTTATACTGGTTCTTACTCCATGAGGGGGAAGCGGCGCACAGGACTCGGCCATTCGCCGCCTAGGCCACCCAAAGTCTCGCTTGGGGAAGCCGCTAAGGTACAAGTCCCCTCTGCGGCCACGCATGCATCTTTCTCACATTCATCCATTCTCTCTCCCTCCCATCATCCTTCTTCTTCCGCATCACAAGTTCCGCAAAGGACTGGAATGTAGCCCACCCACCCGGCATATTCAGTGATTCTCTGATTATACCGGGAAGGGAGAGCCGCACCCCCCCCCCCCCATAACTCCTTTACTCCCCAATCAGAGCATTCCTCTCATTCGTGCACGTTCGGCAGACTATCAGGGTGTGATCCTCGTCGTCCTTACTAACCCTACAATAAAAGCATCGCGGAGATGCAGCTTTACCTATTCTATATAGGTACGCCGAAAAACAGCTATGGCTGGTCATCAGCTGAGTTGTGTGAAAGGTTGTGCTGATAGAGAACGGCCTCTCAACCCACTCAACTAACCCATCAGCAATAGCTGCCCTCACGCGCACCCCTGTCTCCCCCGGAACTCCAACCAAACTTAACTCCTCTTTCCTCTATGCAACAACCGCACCCCACCTCGCGAAGGCACCAAACGCCGCCTTGGTGCCCGGAAGGACTGGTCCTTCCGCACTCCCATGGGCCGCATAAGCCTCCGCAAGCCGCGACGCAAGATGACCAAGGGGAATGACCCCCGCAACCATCATTGCTGCATGGAAGGAAGCCGTTCTATAAGCGCAACACAACCCTGATCGCCACCTTCCTTTGTAACTGCCTTATTCTGAAGTCCTCCACAACAGCGCTACCACACCGGAGCTTAATAAAGAAGGACCAAGTGGATCATGCTGCGGTAGAGGCGCCGTTTCTTTTCCCTCAGTGCATGGAGGTTCGGAAGGAGCCTCCTAAGTGACCGAAGGGTCCCCTCCGCCTTAGGATTCAAGGCCTGAAAGTGGGGCCTGAACGTTAGGTCAAAGTCTAATACTACAAGGTAATAATACAAGGTATTTAACACTGGGTTTCAAGCTAACACGAGACCCCCTAATTTTAATGACAGGGAGCTAAGCACTCTTGCGTCTGCAGAGGGCAGAGGCAGGGAAGGCTATTGCCTCTGTTTTGTGCGGCGCCACCTGGAGGCCATGCCCCTTAATCGCACCCACAAGCACTTCGAGGTCTCGTTTCGCATTCGCAATTGCCCGAGGCAGGTCCTGCCTAACCGCTAGGAGGGCCGTGACATCTGCGTAACAGACAACACTGGTGCCCCCCGGCAGCGCGACACGGAGGACGCTATGTTTCACAGTGTCGGTCCCAGTATCGACCCCTGCGGCACCCCACACGTCACTAGTTGTTCGATTACCTGACCCTGTCTCCCTACAAACACCAAAGACCGATCCGATAGATAACTTCTTATAAGGTTCATCTTATACGTAGAGAGGCCTTTGTCTTCCATTGCCCTAAATATGGTGGCCCACGAAAGCGAGTTAAACGCGTTACTTATGTCCCATGACACAAGAATCCTAACCTGCTCACCGTCCACGTTTTCGTGAATTATGTCCCTTACGACCAAGAGGGCGTCCACCGTCGAGCGACCAACCCGAAAGCCGTGTTGAGCCGGCGAGAGTAGACCCCTTCCCCCACCAGGAACTTATTAATCTTTGAAACCATCACTCTTTCCAGCAGCTTGCCCACCTCGTCAAGCAGATAAATCAGCCTGTAGGAACCAGGCAAGTCGTCTAGGTGCGCATCCTGTTTCTTTTTGATGAGGACCTGCCTGGTCCTCTTCCAGGCCCCTGGAAAGCTGCTGGTCCTTAAGCACTCCGTAAACAGTACTGCCAGGCCAGGCCCACAGTGTGCAGCCGCTATCCTCACTACCGCGTCTGGGACGGCGTCCGGCCCCAGAGCTTCTCTAGCGTTGATCTTCTTGGCCGCAGCAAGCATTTTTCCTGTCGTAACTGCAGCGCCATTCACTGGCACACTGCGCCTCCCAGCTGAACCGTCCCAGTCCATTAATGGGAAGAAACCCCCTAACACACGGTCCAGCAAGTCCGGTTTCGGTACCTCGGTAAACGGCACCGCGTAGGGTCTCAGCTTTCCGATGACAAGTCGGTAGGGTCTGCCCCACAGAGATCCGACTTTGGCGTAGCCAGGAACTCCCGCAAGGCCAGGGTCTTTGCCCTCTTGATGGCCCGCTTCAGATCCTTCTTCGCAGTCCGCAGGCAGCGCTCTATCCTCCCTTAATCCCCTCTTCGCCTGAACCTTAAGTAGCGCCTTCTTGCCGCAGTTGCCGCCGCCCTGAGAGCTGCAAGTTCCTGCGACCACCACGACACCTTCCTTCTCCCGTCCATCTTGCCGTTTATCCTCAGCATAGCCATGTCACAGGCACCCCTCAGTGTATCGCGCACCCACTTCACCAGCACTCGCGCACAATCAGCGTTCCTCAGACGCGTATCGTCACCGTTCTTCGGACGCGTCCACTCACCCGATATGAGGGCAGCGGCAAGATCGTCATTGTCTACGGCCCTTAAATTTCACTGAGAGAAAGTCTTATCCTGTGAGTGTAAGCTTCGGACACCAGTCGCCTCATGCCTGTACTTAAACAAGACATAACAATGGTCTGAAAGGGACTCTGCCTCATCTACCCTCCATTCCGATAAGCGGACACTAGCAGCTAGTGAGCCCCACGTAAAGTCGATAACGCTCGACCCTTCCGGTCGTGGGGCGGCTAACCCGATTGGAGAGATGCAAGTCCAATCTATTGGCCCTCAGGCAGAGTAACTCTCCTCTTAGGTTACCCGTGCCCTCAAAGTTCCACCTAGGAGCCCGGGCATTGAAATCACCAGTTACCAGTGCTGAAAGGGTGGGATATCTTCCCAAAAGCTCTTCGAGCTCGTCCAGGAGTCTACTTAACTTACCAATTACCTCGCTGGGGAAAAAGCAGACGGAAACTACCAGCCAGTCCCTCTATTTGACGGCAACAAAAAAGGAACCCCTGCACACTAGGCTACAGGGTCTTCCGCTTTCACCCAGCAGCACCGCAGTACGCGGAGCCCCCCTCCGGGACGAGAGTTATTTCTCGTTCCCTGGGGGCAGCCACCACGGTTCTGTAATGATGGCAACCCCAACCCTGTCCTTGCGCATGCGCTGCGTTAACAATTTTTGCGCACCGCGCGCATGGTTCCAATTTATCTAAATGCAGTTCTCACTTACCGCCACTACTGCAGCTAGTGGTCCCTTCTCCAGTCCTAGGCTAATCCTGCCAGTTCTCACTCCCTTTTCTATTCCCACTTGCAGGAATAAATAGGTCCACTTGGTCCACCTCCATGGTTTCCCTGTTTTTGGTACCCGCACTAGCAGGACCTCCGGTAGGTCCATCCCCACGCGCACTCGCTGACACTTTCGCACTACGCGCACTCGCGGACACAAACACTCCCGTCCCAGTTTTACGCGGCGGCACTACCGGACACTCCCAGGACCCCGCACGATGGTTCACACTATTGCCGCCGGCATCCTTGCAGACCATGCACTCAATCCTGTTTACGCAATTCTTAGCTACATGGTCTGGTCGCCCACATCTATAACACAGGATTGCCCTGTCAACCGCACTCGGGCATCCCGCTGCGACATGTCCCTTGACCAAGCAACGGTTACACTGCAGCAGCCGCTGCCGCAGGCTGACGACCCAAGCCGTGCACCAGCCGAAGCAAATCTTGCCCTTATTCAGGGCCGCCTGAATCGTCGCCAGCGGAGCAGTGACAACAGTCTCCCCCAGTTTTCCCCTCCCGGCCCTTATATCTCCCACCTTGATGTTGTTAGGGTTTACGCCCCTATTCAGTTCTAGTAGGGCATTCCTTATAATGGTGGCATTTAGTCCCGGGTCCATCCCCACAAGCCTAGTTGTACCCATCCTGCCTGGAGACCTTTTCCTCCGGGACCGTCTTCTTGAGGGCCTCAGCCATCCGGTCCGCTTTGGCAGCCGCCTCCTTGCCCTTGATGCCCTAGATAAAGGCTCCAGTGAGCCCCCTCCAGACGGTCATCGTTTCCTGGCTCAGCTCCTTCAGGTTGATGCTCTCCCTCGCCTTGACGAGAGCATCCCGGTAGGTGGCTGCTTCCTTACATACCAGAGAGACCGCCGCAGTCTCTCTGATTCTCCCCTTGTGGTTCCTCTTCCGCGTCTTTTTCCTAGATTTCTTCTTGGCCTTCCTTTTGTCCTCGGCCGTATCCGTGCTAGCAGGCTGCTTTTCTTGTGTTCCATCTAGGCTGCCCAGGGTCTGTTGCGCTGCCGCTGTCCAGAGCTGCCACTTCTCTTCTTCCCACCAACTACCTCTACGAACCCATCCCCAGAAGCGAGGGGAACCGGGGTCGGAGCGTGCTGGACAGGGACGCGTACAATGTTCGGGGTGGGGGGAGGCTCCAAAACTGACCCCAACAGTGGCCTTCGGTGCGGTCGGTTAGCTAAAGCGCGTACAGCACTCTACAGCTCCCTATTGGACTGCTTTTACACCTCCGTACCCTTGTTAAACTCTCTCAGCACCGTTATTACGCTGCTGATGTCCGCGTTCGAGCTAGATCTGGCGGCATTTAGCCTCTCGTCGATGGCCGGTGTCTTCCTGCCCGAGGGTTCACTAGCCCTCTTTTGCTCAAGGCTCTAACCTCACCCTGAACACGTGTAATAGTGGCCTCCTTCTTCTTAAGCTCCCTCCTAAGCTTACCACAGTCCTCCTTTATGCTTCTCTTTTGGGCCCCCCCCCCATGCTAACCTCGGCCCTCAGCTGGCTCACCGTCTCCGTCTTAGAGGAAGATGCACACTAAAGCTTCCCTAGCCGGGCGTCTATTTCGTCCGCGATCTTCAAGGCCCCTCTGATGTTCCTCTTTATGCGGCTAGACACTTCCCCCTTCAAATTAGAGGACCGCGCCCGCTCCGCCTCTTCTCCCATCAAGAGCTCCCTCAACTTGATGGTCAGCCTCCCAGACTCTATAGCTGAAAGAGAGCGGCTGCTTTCTACCTCCTTCCCAGGGATGACAAACTCCTTCCCCGGTGGGACCATTTCGACGATCATACAGTCTTTCTCCTCCGCAGACACCATGGTCAGCCTTATTCTCTTGCTGCTCATCGTCTTGAATGGTGAGCGCGAGCCGGATAGCCTTAAAGCTTTGAATGCTCTGGCAGCTCGTTGCTACTCCTCTAGACCGTCTTTCCTTCCAGAAGCATTGGTTGGTCCACAAGCCAGGTTTGCTAACTGTAAACAACTTCTCGATACATTAACCAGAGATGGGGCCAGGTTGCCTACCCCTGACTCCTGACAGTCGTCTGATAACGACAGAGGGTTGTCTGTCCTACCACCACCAAACTCCGCCGTTGTGTGGGTCTCCCTCCCCCACCGGTTTGCTGCTAAAGTTGTACCCTCTATATTTTTGTAATTCTGTAAAAATATGGGATAAAAAACCTTAGCAAAAGGGAAAGGAACGAAAGCAAGAGAAGAAGGAAAAGAAAAAAATAAACAAAGATGGGACAGAAAGCGGTAAATATAGGAATAGCCATACGAGATAAATCACACACTATACATACCTTTCCTTTTAGTCGCCTCTTACGACAAGCAGGGAATACTGTAGGAGAATTCTGCTGCCCCCTGCCAACAGGGGCGAGGGCACACACAACTGCACCAATCACTGCAAATGCATCTAAACCTACACATGCAACGGCTTCTGCAAATGCAACAGCAAATGCCACTGCAAACGTAGTAACCACTGCACATACAACAGCAACTGCACATACAACAGCAACTGCAATTGCAACGGCAAATGCAATTAAACTTGCCTTAGCAACTGTAAAAAAACTGAAACTGAAAATGCTACTGCAACTGCCAATGCATATATAGTTACATCTGCACAAGCAACTGCAACTGCATCTTTACCGGCAACTGTCAGTGGTACTGCAAATACAACTGCAACTGCAACTACAATTGCACACGCTATTGCACGTGCATCGGCAACTGCAAATGGCACTGCACATGCTACGGCAAATGCAATTGCAATTGCCCTTGCACCGGCAATTGCAAATGCATCAGTAACTGCAATAGCAACTGAACATGAAACTGCAAATGCAATTGCCACTGCTACTGCACATGCACATGCAACAACAAATGCAACTCTAATAGCACGTGTAAATGGTACTGCATCTGAAACTGCACATTAAACGTCAAATGCAACAGCCACTGCGACTGCATTTTAGCTATTGACTGCAACTACCACTAAACATGCAACTGCAAAATCATCTTTGCCTCCATCTGCAAATAGAACTGCAAAATACAATTTAACTGCAACTGTATAAGCCTTGGCAAGTGCACATGCATCGGCAACTGCTACTGCAACGGCAAATGCAACTGCACTTGCACATATACATGGAACGGCTACTGCAACAGCAACAGAACCTGCACTTGCACATGCATCGGCAACTGTTACTGCAACTGCACATGCACCTGCAGCCGTCCATTCAACAGCAACTAAAACTGCAAAAGCACATAAAACTGCCATTAAAACTGCACCTGCAACTGCAAATGCACTTAAACCTACATATGCCACAGTTACTGCTACTGCAAACGAAAATGCAACTAATACTACAACAGTACCTGCAAATGCACATTAACCGACAACTGCCCATAGTACAGCAACTGTAAATAAAAAAGAACCTGCACTTGCACAAGCACCAAAAACTGTTACTGCAACTGCAAATACACCTGGAACAGACTAAGCAACGATAACTGCAACTGCCCAGGCAAATGCAACTGCTACTGCAACAGTTCCTGCAAATGCACATTCACCTACACCTGCACATAGAACGGCTACTGCAACTGCAACAAAATCTTTTAATGCACATGCTTCAGCAACTGCAACTGAAAATGCCCCTGCAACCGACCATGAAACGGAAACTGCAACCGCAACGGCAAATGACACCGCAAGGGCAACTGTACCTGCAACTGCACATCTACCAACAACTGCACTTAGACATCTACTGCCACTGCAACAGTGTCTGCAACTTCACATGCAAAAGCAACTGCAACAGCAACTGCACATTCTACTGACAATAAAACTGCAACTGATACTGCACATACAATTGGATCGGCATATGCCACAGCAACTGAAAATGCTACCAATACTGCAACTGCACAAGCACCTGCTACTACACATGTAAGTGCAAGTGCAACTGCAACCGCACATGCAATCGCAGATGCAAATGCAATTGCATCAGTAACTGCAACTGCCACTTCATATAAACTTGCATCTGCATATGCTACAGCAACTAAGACTGCTACAACAAATGCAACTGCAGCTGCCACTACAACTGTAACTGCATACGCCTATGCCTCTGCAAATTCAACAAATAACAAAAATGCCACAAAAACTGTTACTGCAGTAGAACATGCCACGGCAAATGAAACAGCAACTGCACATGCACCTGAAAATCCAAATGCACCAAAATGTGCACCTGAAACTGCACATGCAACAGAAACAGCAACTACGACTGCACATGCTACTAGAACTTTACCTTTGCCTGCATCTGCAAATGCTACTAAAATTGCTGCTGCCACTGACTCTGCAACCGCAAATACAACTACCAGTGCTACTACACTTGCACATGCAATTTATCATGCAACAGCAAATGCAACTCCTACGCTCTATGCAACAGCAACGGCACAGTCACGAGAATATTGAACTGCAACTACAACTCTAACTACAACTGCAACCACTACTGCCTATGCAACTGCAGCTGCAACTTCATATGCTACTCTAAATGCAACTGCAACTGCAACTGCACATGTCTTTAAATATGCTAATGCAACAGCAACTGAAAATCCTACTAAAACTGCCACTGCACATGCACCTGCTACTACACATGCAACTGCAAGTGCAACTTTAACTATACGTGCATTGGCAACTGCAAATGCAGCTACAACTAAAACTGCACCGGCACATGCAACTGTATTTGCATTAGCTACTGCAACTGAAACTGCAACTATGACTGTCACTGCAATTGCAAATGCACCTGCAACTGCACATTAAACATCTACTGCAACTTCAACAATTCCTGCAATTGCACATGCAAGAGAAACTGAAACTGAAACCGCTTATACTACTGTAAATAAAACTGCAACTGATACTGCACATACAATTAAATCTGCATATGCAACAGCAACTGTAAATGCTACCAAAACTGCAATTGCTCATGCACTTGCTACTACACATGCAAGTGCAAGTGCTACTGCAACCGCACATGCAATCGCAAATGCAAATGCAACTACTACTGTAACTGCAACTGCCTTTGCACATACACTGGCAACTGCAAATGCAACAGCAACTGAGACTTCTACAGCAGAGCCAACTGCAGCTGCAAATTCCATACCAATTGAAAATGCTACAAAAACTGCTACTGCAATAGCACATGAAACGGCAAATGCAACTGCAACTGCACATGAACCTGAAAATGCAAGTGCATCAACAACTGCACCTGAAACTGCACATGCAACAGAAACAGCAACTACTACTGCACATGCTACTAGAACTTTATCTTTACCTGCAACTGCAAATGCAACGGCAACTGCAACTGCAAAGGCTCATGCAACTGCTACTGGACATAAAACTGCCCCTGACTTTTTTACTAAAAATGCTAATGCACATGTAACTGCAACTGCACATGCAAATGCAACTACAACTGCATTATTTTGTATATATACATATTTTTTAACATTTTTATTTGCACATGCAACACACATAGGACTGCAACTGCCTCTGCATATGCACAGGCAAGGGAAACTGCTAATGCAACTGCACATGAAATTGAACCTGACACTGCAAGTCACATGTCACTTAACATGCAACTGAGCATGCAACTGCGAATGCAACTAAAACTGCAACTACATCTTTTTGGTAATATATATTTTTTTACATTTTTTCCTGCGCATGCACTGCATATGCAGCTGCTGCTTAATTTGCAACTGCTCATGCAACTGCAACTTAATCTACAACTGCAAGTGCAACAGCTACTGCAACTGCAAAGTTTCATGCAACTGCTCTTGACTCTTTCACTAAACATGCAACTGCACATCTAACTGCAACTGCACATGCCTCTTCAACTGCAACTGCATTATTTTGTATATATATTTTTTAACATTTTTACCTGCACATGCTACGCACATGAAACTGCAACTGGATTTGCAGCCGTACTTGCAGCGACAACTGAATTTTTTGCTATTATATATTTTTTTACATTTTTTCTTGCGTTTGCAACTGCACACGCACATGCAACTGCAACTGAGTCTGAAACAGCACATGCAACTGCAACTGCATATGCAACTGCACATGCAACTGCAACTGCATATGCTACTGCAACTGCAACTGCATTTTTTTGTTTAAAAATGATGAAATTTGTAAGACGCTTTACAGTAAATTTTATTAGGTATATTGTTTAAACATATAAATATATATCCTTTAATTTTATACTCATCACTTTATAACTACAGATAAGGGCACGGCTAAAGCGTTTTTCTTCTCTATTTTTATTTCTTTTTTTTGTCACACACAAGCACACACTATGTTGGTTTGCAGTACGACGTGGTATCAGCCTCACTTAAAATGGATTACTACTACTACACAGTAATTCTTTCGCTACTGCGCGCGCTCATTGGTCAAATCAAATAGCGTGCGCTTCTTCGATTTTCTGTTACACATTTCGTTACTTTTCAGGAAATCACTCCTAGATATCGACCGGAAAGCTGTTACCCATCAAAAAAAGATTTTGATCCAGCAACGGATTTATGCAATTAAATTTTATTTTTTAATGGTTAACGCTAGTCTTTTAACTAATGTTTCTTTTGTAAAGACTCTATTTCAATTATTATGCTAATATAATGCAGTTCCAGCTAAAAGCAAGATATATATCTGTTGAAAAGTAAAAATATTATTTTCGCATTGGAAAGAAACAGTTTTATAATTCTTTTAAAAAATATTTATTTAAAAAATATGACAATTTTTTTCTCTCCGCAATGGTGATCAATTATTTTGCTGATAAAAAGAGTTCTTTATTTTTAACAACGATAAAAAGAATTCGATGACACTGTTAGATAATAAATGATTTTGGAAGACACCGTCTTCTTTTTTTTCACGCTAGAAATATGTGCTTTATTATTCTATAGAAAGAATTGAAAAAAGAGTTCATTTTTGTTATTTATAAATTATTTTCTACAATAATTCTTATTAAACTATAATCTCTTGCTGTTTTTTGATCAGTATCAGTATACATTAAAATTTTTGTTTTAGTTTTCGAGATTTTTAAAACTAATGCAGAGAAGTTTAATTCCTATTACTATCGTTACAAATATGTATCTAAAAAAAAGTATCTATCCAAACAGCCGCGGAATATTGTGGGCGTATGAGCTAAGAAAAAAATTATTTTGTTACGCAAATGTGTGATATATAACTTCTTACGTGCGTACATAAGTAAGCACACTAGTTTTTTTTTAGATAACTCTCTTGTAAGGAGGATTTACAGATTAATTTAAACTTACATTAAACTCTTTACTACGCGGTGGGACGCAACATTACCGAAACAGCACTCGTAATTAGACATTCTATACATTGTTTTGATTTTTTGTATTAATTATAATCTGTTAGGAAGTGTATAAAGTTTAGTTACTTTTTCTTATTATATATGTTGCTCTTTTTATAGTTGTTGTATTGCCCATATTAAGTGATTGGTCAATTTATATTTCATTAATTATGTATTTTCTACGTATGAAATCTTTTCATATATGTATATCAAAAATTATTAGATTTAACTTATTATAACAAAATATTAATTAAACTGAGGATTTGTTAGACACACTGATTCACATTTTTAGATACTTGATATAATTTTAAACAAAATATTATCTATTCGTGTAAATACGGAATAATGCGAACATAGTATTTAGTATATCTATGATTGCGTTTAGCAATAACAATGGCATCGTAAGTCAATAATTATTTTAAGTTAATTTACTAATAAACAATAATTGAAAATTTATTTTTGAAAAATTAGTTATTTATAGTTTTATACTGATAGAAAAATATCTGATAATAATTTTTACTCACAATAAGTAGGACATATTGGATGTGGAATTATTTTTGAACTATGTTTTTTTAATTCGTGGATGATACATTATAGTAAGACTGTTTATATTTTTTATCTAACATAGGCTTGCTATTACCTTTTTAAAGTTTTTTAAGGAGGCTTAACGAAAATTGGTCAACTTCTGGTAAGTATATTTATATTACAGAATATGAAATCATAGAAACTGGTATATTTATCGCATTGACGTTGACTTTAAATTTAAAAAAAAGGAAATCCTAGAAGGTGCTACTTTATTGTTTAATTAAAAAACGTTGGTATTAAATCAATATACAAAATTTATAATGTACAATAAACAAAATATTTTATCTACATTTCTTTAGGAAATGTTCTACAAGTTTAAATTTTTATAACGATTTTTTAAAATGGTCCCAATGTTTCTACTATGGAACAATGTATTATTCTACTCGTTCTTTGTCCGCAAAATTATTACCTGAAATGTTTAAACTACCTGTAGTTACACGACAGTGTTGCCACTTATTCATTAGATTCTTAAGTAAAAAATTAAAAGAATTTACGCTGACTAGACCCCGCTCCGACGTACACTTTTCCTTCTCTTACTTACTCATTCTTGTTTTAGTGTTTTAATACTTAACAGCGTTAGTGCCTAATCACAAGTAAAAATGCCAAAAAAATATCATTAGAGATGATGAGATTTCTCGGGACACCAGGACAAATATTATCGAAATTATTTATTCAAAATGCTCCGCAAATTAGAAAAAACATAGCAAAGGAAGAAAATGAGCCACAGACGTCGAAAGCGAAACAGTTCATGGTCCAAGGATATAAGCAAATGTACGTAATATACTTATGACTTATACGTATATTTAATCTATGCACAGAACAGTCTCTGAGATTTTATCGAGCGTTTATTAAGTGGGAACGCAGAATTGTGAATTCCTTGCTTACGGAAAAAAAAATTTATTCGCAGATCAGTTTGCGGAACTGTCTCACTATATTATAATACTTGATATTTATGATGAAATTTTAGAAATGATAGGCGTAAATTCATTACATAATTTTGACAAAATTTGGTCAAAATAGCCATGAAAAAGTAGCAAGTAGGCTAGAACATATCGTCATTTCTGGTTTGTTAAAGAAAAATCACCTAGAGCTAGAGGAAAAATACCAGATACAGAAATATTATATTTGAATTGAAACTCCACAGCTGAACGCTTAAATTAAAGCAACAATTTCGAAACCGATTTTAAGGGACAAGGGGTAGTGTATTTAATTTTTTTTTTTTTTTAAGTTTCTGTTTGTAAATATAAAATAAAGTTTTATATACTTACTTCACTCATTTAAACATTTAACACTCGTTGCAGTAGCGCATAGTTTTTTTAAAAGCAACAAACCTAATACGAATGTTCAGAGCTCACTTTTCCACAATGTTTATCTGCAGACTTTTATTATGCTCAAATGGTGCTTCTATTGCTACATATCTTAAGTTTACATAATTTCTAAATTTCAATATCTAAAGTATGTCATATCTCTACTTCAAAAGTCCTGTATTTTTTAAGTTATACTTCTTTTAGCGCTTTTGGGGAGAAGTGATGAGTGAATTTTACAATAGAACCCAAAAATCGAAACGACGATGTCGTCAATATTTACGATGCGCGAGCAAAGCGATTCCCAATTTACGGCATAAAGTATTCACTTCTTTCTCTCATTTTTTTTAAGCGGTCACCCATCTAAGTTGTTATCGTACTTAAGCGTTGCTCGACCTAAATGATCGAGCAGGAGCTTGTGCTGCTACCGCGCTATGCCCGTTGACGCATCAAGTAATTTTAAATAACTTCCTGATATTTAGTATGGATTTGTATCTACATTTTGATATTTTTGACAATGATCAGTATACACCTAAATTTCTGTAAAAGTTTTCCAGATGCCTAAAACTAATGCAGAGAAATGTAATGAATAATGTTAATATAATCAAGATTTTTTTTCTTATCCAAAATTTATTAATATTATTACTAAGTTTACTCTTAGGGAAGTTGTTTTTTTGGACGGGTTTAATTAAGATGAACACAATATTTATCCGTTGAACGTTTCGTCTCTATTTGAGACTTCCTCAGCA